TCAGTTCAGCTTCTCTCCCCTGCTGGTTTCCTCTTCAGCTGCTGAGTCTCTTCCAACCTGTCTGAGCCCTTTCACCTCCCTCAGTTCAGCTTCTCTCCCTTGCTGGTTCCCTCTTCAGCTGCTGAGTCTCTTCCAACCTGTCTGAGTCCTTTCACCTCCCTTCCTTCCGATGGCAGTTCCCTGACATCCACCTCCCCTCCAGGCCCCCCTTCACCCCTCTCGCCCCCTCCTCTACGGGCGGTGAGGAGGCAAAACCCGGAATGAACTTCCTTCATCTTCCGATGTCTCGAACACTTCTCTCCACCTGTTGCGGTTCCTGGTCTCGAAGCACTCCTCCTCCTCCGAGTCCATCTCCCCTTCCCCTTCCGATTCTGGGAATCCTTCCAACTCCTCCTCCTCCTCAGTGGTCCCAAAGTATTCCCTCCGGAACCTCTCCACAGGCTGAGGTTTCCTCGGGAACCTTTGATGGAACGTTTCTATCAATACCTCGTCATTGATATCTTCGGCCATTACCCACGTGTTTTCTGACTCCGGTTCTCCTTCCCACGCTACCAAATACTCCACCTGATTCCCCTTCCACCTGGCATCAAGGATTTCTGCCACATGACTGCTGCATTCTCTTTCTTCTACGACCCGGTCCCAGTGGCCATCCCTTCTCGTCCCCCCTCGTACGGTGACAGTAACGACCTGTGAAATACTGGGTGCAGTTTCATGTGGTTGGGTAACCGGAGCCTGAAAGCCACTGGGTTGACCTGTTGAATGACCTCAAAGGGACCCAACCTCCTGGGTCTTAATTTCTTACAACCTCCTTTGAGCAGCAGCCCTCGGGTTGACAGCCACACCCTATCTCCAACCCTTATGGTTTCACCTTCCCTTCGGTTCTTGTCTGCCTGCCTCTTGTATTCTTCCTTCGCCCTTTCTAAGTTGAGTTGGAGCTGACGGTGGATTGCTTCCATTTCTTCTACAAAATGCTCGGCTGCCGGTGCGCTCCATCTCTCCCCTTCTCCCCTGGGAAAGCCCTGGGATGACACCCATAATTAGCCAAGAAGGGGCTCATCCCTGTGGACACATTCTCGGCATTGTTGTAGGCAAATTCCGCCAGCGCCAACTTTTCTACCCAGTCATTCTCTCTGTCATTGACATAACACCTCAGGTATTGCTGGAGGACACCGTTTGCTCTTTCCGCCTGCCCGTTGGTTTCAGGGTGCCGGGCAGTCGAAAAGTTGACCTCCACCTGCAGTAAGCTCATGAGCTTCCTCCAGAACCTGGAAGTAAATTGTTTTCCTCGGTCTGAGACCACCCTCAATGGCACCCCGTGCAACCTAAAAATGTGTTCTACAAATAACTCGCTGTCTCTTCCGCCGTGACTGCATGCGAGCAAGCTACAAAGTGGCACATCTTTGTTAGTAGGTCTACCACCACCATGATGGCTGTTTTCCCTTTGGACTTCGGCAGATCAGTCATAAAATCTATCGACACTGCCTCCCAAGGTCGTTCTGGTGTTGGTAAGGGTTCTAATAGCCCCGCCGGCGCCCGCCTTTCCCCTTTGGCTCGCTGGCACTGCTCGCACCCTCTTACATACTCACGTACATCCTCCCTCACCTTAGGCCACCAAAATTCCCTGGTGACCAACCACATGGTTTTGTGTTGCCCAAAATGCCCGCCGTGGGGCTGTCATGCAACTGCTTGAGTACCCTCCCCTTAAGTCTCCTTCAGGGATATACAGTGCCCCTTTGTAATACAAAGCTCCATTTCTTTCCTCGAAACCCCTTGATTCCTCTCCCTCATCCCTAAGACCTCTGAGCTTATTCTGGGCGTATTCATCATTCTCTGTTTCTTCTACCAGTTCTCTTTGTCCCACCAATGCCGCCCCACACACCCAGCGGTCCTCTGGAATGACATGTCTCTCTTCGGTGCTCCCTCCCCTCCAAATATTCAGGTTTGCGTGAGAGGCGTCCGCCCTAATGTTCTCTGGGCCTGGCACGTAACAAATCTCAAAGTTAAATTTGGAGAATTCCTGGGCCCACCTCACTTGCCGTTGGTTGAGCACTCGTGCCGTCCTCCAATACTCTAGGTTCTTGTGGTCAGTGCACACTTGCACCTTATGTTGTGCGCCAATTAGCAGGTGCCTCCATCTCCGGAACGCCTCATGAATGGCTAGTAGTTCTCGGTCATACACCGTGTAGTTCCTCTCGGATTTGTTCAGCTTTCGCGAAAAAAAGCACACGGTCTCCACTCTGACTCCTCCTTCCCTGGCTGGAGAAGCACCGCCCCAACCGCTCTGTCTGATGCGTCAGTTTCCACTCTCATCGGTTTTGTAAATCCACATGCAGGAGCTGTTGTTCCGAGGCGAAGGCCCTTTTAGTTCCTCAAATGCTTGCTCCGCCTCCTCCGTCCAAGCGAACTTCTTCTTACTGCTGAGACAGTCCGTAATGGGCGCCGTCAGGTGGGCAAAGTTTGGGATGAACTTACGATAGAAGTTCCCAAATCCTAAAAACCTCTGCACATCCTTCCTTGTTTTGGGTGTTTTCCATTCCAGTACCGCCTGGACCTTGCCGGGATCCATGGCCAGCCCCTTGTCAGACAGGCGATACCCCAGGAATTCCACCTCCTTGGTATGAAACTGACACTTCTCCAGTTTCACCCACAGCTGGTTGGCTTGCAGCCTGCTCAACACTTCTCTGACGTCTCTCACATGCTGCTCCTCATTCTCAGAATACACCAACACGTCGTCTAAGAAGGCCACACAATTCTTGTAAAGCAACGGCCCCAGGACGTGGTTCATAAACGATTGAAATGTTGCGGAGCCTGCTTGTAGACCGAAGGGCATAACTAAGTATTCAAATGCCCCTAAAGGGGTGAACATGGTGGTTTTCCATTCATCCCCCTTCCTTATTCGTATCAGGTTGTACGCCCCCCTTAGATCCAGCTTGGTGAAAATCTTTCCCTTCCGCACCCTTGTCAAAATGTCGTCAATCCTGGGCATCGGGAAGGCCACTGGTTCTGACACTGCATTTAAGGCCCTGAAGTCACACACCAGTCTCGGCTTGTTCGTGTTTTTGTCCACAAAAACACTGGGCTGCCCCACCGCCCTGGACTCTCTGATGAACCCTCTCTTCAGGTTCTTGTCAATGAACTCTCTTAGCTCCTGCATCTCTCTGTCTGACATGGCGTACAGCTTGCCCACAGGGAGCTGTGCCCCAGGGAGCAAATTGATTTGACAGTCAAAGGCTCTATGCGGTGGTAGTTGGTCAGCTTCCCTTTCGCTGAAGACGTCGCGGAGATCTGCGTATTGTCGTGGTACCTTCACGTTCTCCGTTACTTCAGTCCCTGCTAGGGTGGCTTGGGCCCCTGCCAAAACCTTTCCCTCTTTGCAGTGTTCTAAGCAATGTGCTGACCCAAAAGAAACCACTCTTTGATGCCAGCCCACCAGCGGATCATGTAACGCTAGCCAGCTCATCCCCAATATAATGGGAGCTCCTCCCAAGGTGGCCACATTAAACGCTATTAGTTCGGTGTGCCTTGCCACCTTCATTATCATTGGGACGGTCTGCAAGCTGACTTCTCCTCCCAACAGCTCCCTGCCATCGATCGTGGTTACCTGCAGGGGGTTGCTTAAAGGAGCGTCTGTATCTGGTGTTCAGCTGCAAACTCTTTGCTCATGAAATTGCAGGAGCTGCCTGAGTCCAACAGCGCCTTTATCTTTAGAGGGTGTCCGTTTGGCAGCTCTAGTGTCACTTCTATCACTAGGGCGGGTTTAGGAGGTTCTGGCGTGGGCACTTTCACTGCTCTTTGGCCTGGCTGCTGTGCCCGACAATGGCAGCCAGGCGTTGGCTTTTAGTTGCTCCGGTATTTTTCCTCTCTTCCCTCCACAGCTCCCACCATCCCTTGCCATTCCTTCCTCTGGGGGCAGACTCTGGCAAAGTGCCCTGGCTGTTGGCAGAGATAGCATTTCCGGGCGCCTTTTCCCTCCTTTTTTCCCCCCTCACTGGGCTTTGAAACTGCGCGCGCGCGCGCTGTTCCGATTTCCATCGGCTCTGCCGGCGGGAAAGTTGGCTCTGGAATGTCTGGAATGCGGAACTCCTTCCAACGTTCCCCTTTCCCTTCCCGCCTCTCCAATGCTCTCGCCTCCTGGCGCGCTCCTATGGCCAGCGCTGATTTGGTCAGCTGGTCCATAGACTCCGCCCTGGGCGCCCGGGAAAGTTCATCTTTCACAGCCGAAGAAAGCCCTTCTTCAAAGAGCATTTGAATGGGTTCCGCCGATAAGTCCCACCCCAATCTGTGTATCAGCATGGTGAACTCAGTCCAGTACTCACGTACAGATCGGCTCCCCTGTTTGCAAGCCATTAACTGTCTGCGCACCACTCCCTTTTCAATATCGCTGGAAAACATCAGATCCATGGCGCGAAAGAACTTCATCGTGTCCTTTAGGACGTCACTATGCGCTGCCATCAGGGTCTAACCCAGTCTCTCGCCCCCTTTTCAAGATGCCCAATCACAAAAGCCACTCGTGATTCCTCATCAGGAAATCATCAAACTGCAGATTGAGGGCATATTGCATTTCTGTCCGAAAGCTATGATAGTCTTTGGGCTCCCCCCCAAATTTCTGCACCAATCCTGGTACCTTTCTGGCGAGCTGGGTGGCTTTCTCCCTTTGTCTGCATCTTGAGCCCTCCTCTCCTCCAGCCTCGCCGTCTGCAGCGCCAGCTGGACCTCCAACACCCGGTACCTTTCTTCCAGGCTTGGACCCGCTCCAGCCCCTGCTTCTCCGGTTCCTGCTGGGTTGCTCATTATGCCTTCTCCTGCACAAGCTGCGTTCAAAGACTGTCGGAATGCTGTGATGGGAAGATGAGCTGCTTGTGCGTAAAATCGTATTCCCTCAGAGTTTGTTCAAGTCCACAAACCTCTGTCTGTGACTGAGCCCCTCTGACATGGCTCCTCTAGTCACTAGAAGATTCCGACAGTGGTTGCTTTCGTAATCGCTTCCAACATAAAAGCTCCTTAACGGAAACACGTCTTCTGGACTCTCTGCGTGACAGTTTCCGGCGAGGAGTGGGTGTCCCTACAGGAGGTCCGGAAACCTCACCACTGTTTTCGCTGGAAGTATCTCTGAGCCATCCCCCCAGCTCCCTTTCCCTCAGTTCAGCTTCTCTCCCCCTGCTGGTTTCCTCTTCAGCTGCTGAGTCTCTTCCAACCTGTCTGAGCCCTTTCACCTCCCTCAGTTCAGCTTCTCTCCCCTTGCTGGTTCCCTCTTCAGCTGCTGAGTCTCTTCCAACCTGTCTGAGTCCTTTCACCTCCCTTCCTTCCGATGGCAGTTCCCTGACACTTCCCTATACAGGATTGCCTTCAGATGGCTCGGGGGTCGGATAACTCCTTACCCTCAAATGTTTCTCCAATGAAAATAGGATCGTCCTAAGAAAACATGGGACATTCCAGGATCAAATCAGAAACTGGGATGGCTTCTCCAAATCAGCGAATAGGGACACTTGGAAGGTCTGTACTTCCCTTCTCCATCATGGTGCCTCCCTCGTCCCTTACGCTCAATATATTTAAGTCTGTAGACCCTGTGTGTTCCTGTTTCTGTCATCACAAAGAAAGCGAGGTTTCAAAAGGGCAACCCTTAACATCACAGTACTTGGGGAAAAGGGAGTATGAAATGAGCCATATTTTCCTGGAAGAACTAGCTGAGTTCTCTTACCCTTCGTAGGCCTCTCTGCATGCATAGGTGTGCAGATCTGCTTCAGAAAAATGTTGCATTTCACGTAGGGTTGGGGTTTTTGGTTTAAAATTTTATTATATTTCTATATTATCTTTGAGATTTGACACTTGCTCACAGTCCATGGATAGAGGTCAGTTATTTATTTATTTTCAGAAAGCATGCGTGCGTGTATCTTGCAGAAGTGTGAATTTCCATGGATATATATGGCATATATAAAGGTGTCTTTTTATTGTTATGGTTGGTGCCCACCTGACATGCGAATGCTTCTAATGGTATCATCATAGTAGGTGCATCTAAGTCAGGTATATCAAGTTTCAGATAAAGCAAGGATTTATGGCAATTTACTGCCCCAATTTTATACAGACTCTGGTCTCAAAACTGCACAGACAGTCACATTAGTTTGAGAAGGAGAGGCAGTAAAAGCCCCATAAAACTTGTCTGATTTATAGTTCTTTGATCTTTTCTCACTGAAATATCCAAATGGCATAAACAAAATGTCTCTTTTCCATGGAAGATTCAACAATACGATAAAGGCACCAATCCATCGGAGTATTTGTAGAATCAAGGATTACATTTAGAAAGAAGTACCTAGGAGCATCTTTTATCACAGTAAAACAGGCCTGCTTGCTGTTTATATTCTTTTAGTGCAAACCTGGGACTCAGCTAGATTGGTAAAGAAAAGAGACTTATATGCATTGTATATGTGATATAACATTGTGGCACCAGATGGTGCTGTGGAGTCCTGTTTTTCTCTACCTGTTTCATCTGTTTGCATTTACAACACATTTAACTGAAACGCTTCTTTGAAACGCAGGACTTCCGCAGGGCCTGTAAGACAGAGCTATTCCACCTGGCCTTCAATTTGAATTAGCCTGATCCTCTATTCCCCTTTCCCTTTCCTCTTCTATGAAGAAACCCTTTCTGGGAACCCACATTTAAATTCTTCCCTGGTCTCCTTGCTGGCCCTAGTAGGACCAACTTGACCAGTTAGCCCTGGTGATCATTTGATGTCTACTGACTGGGGTTTTTTCCCCCTTCTTCTCAAAATGACCCCTGAATTTTTGAGTTTTATTGATATTGATGCTGCATTTTATGTTGTATTTTATGCTGTTTTGTGCTGTTTTTAAGTCGCATTTTAATCAGTGTTTTATATTTGCTGTTAGCCGCCCGGAGCCCGGTTTTTAAACCAGGAAGGGCGGGGTATAAATAAATTCTTATTCTTATTCTTATGTGTCCAGTTCCAACCCTGGATAACCTATGACACCCAAATCAGAGTGCTTAATGATGTCCTTGTGAGTGGACACTGCATGCTAGTGACATTTGGGTTGGAGGTACACTAAGAAAATCTAAATCTATATCTAATGAAAAGTTCTCCGGGCATAATCCAGTAGTAAAGCTTGTCATATTGCCTTCCTTAAGAAGAGCCCTGCTAGATCACATCAAAGTGGCCCATCTAGTCCAACAACCCGTTCTCACAGCGACCAACCAAATGCCTACAGAGCATGGGTGGTGCTGTGGTCTAAACCACTGAGCCTCTTGGGCTTGCCGATCATAAGGTTGGTGGTTCGAATTCCCTTGACGGAGTGAGCTCCCGTTGCTCTGTCCTAGCTTCTGCCAACCTAGCAGTTTGAAAGCACACCAGTGCAAGTAGATAAATAGGTACCTCTGTGGCAGGAAGATAAATGGCGTTTCCGTGCACTGTGGCTTCCGTCATGGTGTTCCGTTGTGCCAGAAGCAGTTTAGTCATGCTGGGAACATGACCCAGAAAGCTGCCTGTGCACAAACACCAGCTCCCTCAGCCTGAAAGCGAGATGAGCGCCACAAACCCATAGTTGTCTTTGATCGGACTTAACCTTCCAGGGATCCTTTACCTTTACCTTTTACCTTATAGGACCGGAGCAGGATTGACCCGAGTGAAACAGCTCTCCCCACTTGCAATTTGAAAGAACTGGCATTCAGAGGAATAGTGCCTTCAACACTGGAGGCAGAACATATCTACAATGGCTAATAGCCATTGACAGCCTTATCCTCCATGATTTTTGATTAATCTGATAATAACTTCCACTGGGAAACATGACCATGCAGGACTAGCTTACAGCTCCATTCACAAATGCATATCCAGCATCCAGTGGACTATAACAGAACACAGTCACCTGCAGCTGCAAAGGAGTCATTGCAGATCAAATGCTACAGGTATACAAATTTAATTAATAATAAATATTAAATCTCATCTCAGATTCCTCACCGGAGGAAGATTTTCTGGAGGCCAAGCCTCTAACCTTGGGGGAAAAAAAATAGACAAAGATTCAATTAACAAGCTTGCGGGCCAAGGTGCAGTACAGTGGTACCTCTAGATGCGAACGGGATCCGTTCCAAAGCCCCGTTCGCATCTAGAAGCAAGCGCAACTAGTGACGGCACGTCTGCGCACACGCGCGTTGCTTTTTGCTGCTTCTGCGCATGCGCGTGACATCATTTTGAGCGTCTGTGGATGTGCAAGCGGCAAAACCCAGAAGTAACGTGCTCATCCCGAAGCACATTCAACCGGAGGTTTGACTGTATTCAAAAGAATGAGGGTCTGTGCCACAGAAGAATGAAGTGCAAAAGGTAGTTCCCAAAAAATTAACCTTATTTGTATCTTGGCAGAGAGCCATTGCTTGACTGGCATCAGAAGTTTGTTCCTTTAACTACGTGTCAGCAGGAGGTATGGCCTTACAGGGTCTTCTTTCTCCTAAAGACAGATACAACTCTGTGTAGTGGACAATTTCTTATGTGTTCAGCGCATGATTAACCATGGTATTCCCATGATTATCCTGACATTGCACTGGAAACTTTCATTCATGCTCCTGTTCACCAATAGACCAGATGGCCTTGCAACAATTAAAACAGGTTTCCTTCTCATTTTCTGTTGACAAAATGCACCAGGGCTGATGGTGTGCGTATTTATTTATGGCTGAGATACTGACCTGAACTCTGGATAGTATTTTACCATGAAAGGCCTAATCTGAAAAGAGATCTAGATGATTAAGACACACTGGGCTGAACATCTAAAGCTGCCTAACCTTTCTAACTGGATTAACATATTTGTTCAGTGGGTAACATGGGAAGATGACTGCTCTGCTCTCTTGATCGGCTCTGTTCTGGTATTTTTCATAATTAGAGAGAATGGCAATCTCCCTCAATTAAAGTTCCCATTTATGTCCGGTTGGAAAATATACTGTCACCTATCCTAATGGGGCAGAAAGGTCACAGTCTGTAGCATATGAGGGGGTGGCTGTGAATAACCAACTTCGACTTTTAGTAGGAAATATTAATTAAACATGGAATAACAAGTTAGCCAAAGTCATTTAAAGACAGATTTTTCAAGCAGGACACCCAGGTTATTTATAATTTGTAAATCAGGTAACTGCAGTCTGGACTAGCATATCCCAATACTTGTATTTTTGGTAAATGACTACTTCACCGCTACAAGAGAGAACTTTTATTTCAGAGGCATTGTTCTGTGAATGTCTAAATAATTTCATTTAAATTTGTGTGTAGAAACCGTGAAATAATATTTGCTAGGTATTCCAGTACTAAAAAGAACTGAAGACACACATTGGTGTCCACCCCCAGCTGAGCCGTATTTGTCAAGTGTGGAGCTTTATTTTGTTAATTTTGTAAAGTAAGCTTCTGGTTCTTGTGGAAGTTGAGAGATGAGGCACCACATGCAGAAATCTTTTGATTTATGAGAAACTAGCCTACTCCTGCCTCTTAGTGATTTTAGCCAATGACTAAAGCCATAAAATTGATTGACTTTTAGCAGAGCATATCTAGTTAATCAGGCAAAGGGCTGACTAGAGTGAAACACCAAGTGGGATCATCTTAATAGATGGTCCTGGTTGCGGGCAGGCCCTCAACCCAGTCCCTCTACCCTGGCGTAGGTGGAACCATCACCCTCACGCCAGGGTGGCACCACGATTACCCAGGGCTATTGTCCAATCAGTTTGAATGGGTGATTGTGGGGAATGTATAAAAGCGGCAGCGCAACGTGTGCCAAGCACCTGCTTCACGCTGCTGAACACCCGCCCACCCTCCCTTTAATTTAAGTGTCCTCTGGCCTTGCTTTGGACTTCGGTTGGCTGCCCATCTTGAGTTGGGGACCGGGTAGGAATTTTTCCATTTGGCGAATTGGCACTGGCCACTTGGTTTTTGCCTACCTCTTAGCAATCTTCACAACTTTGTAAGGTTTGGCGGTTAGGCATTGGCTTATGGTGAATGGGGGAGGGGAGGTCGGCCATCGCCTGCCCCTCCGTTAAAGGAAGCCGGGGCCTGGTTCCTGTCTGAAGTCTGCTTGAAGGGTGAGGGCCATGCCAGGCCTCTGGGAACACCAGGGGAGATGCACACTGGTTCCCCTGAAGCAGTTTCCCTTTGGGTGGTTTACCCTTACAGACTTCCTGCAAAGGTGGCAGGAGTCAGATATAGTCTTTTGTCAATGCCTAAGCCAATACCGCTCACATTTCCTTTAATCAATAAAGTTCTGGCCAAAAAAATTGCCCAATAAACTTAAACAAAAATTCTGTGTCTGTGTGAATTTCTTTATGTTAATGGGGGGTTGGCTTGAGGGTCT